TTTAACCGTGTGTTCATTTATAATAATTGACAGCGCATATAAGCCAAGGCAAAAAACTGCCAATATTAGGCTAAGAATAATTATTATATTAATTATTTTTTTCTATTTCAGGTTTTATATAAATAATTAACACAATGGAAAAATGTTATTCTCCTAATTAGACTGTCAGACGAATAACAGACAGCGTTTGACTCCAAGGGGAGGGCAATAAGTCCGTTTAAGGGAGCATAGAAATTTGGGACTAGAAATATTACTGATTAGTTTTTAAATTTATCTTTTACATAAATTCCTAATCTGACCAATGTATATTTTGTGAATTTCATGCCCATTTCTTACTAGGCTACTACATCAGTGACTGCTTGAGTAAGTCAAGTCGCTAATCTCCCTCTTTGTTCGTTTGCTCTCTCAGAATTGAATGTACATCGACCAATATAAAGTTTGCCATTTCCTCTCAGTCATTACAAAATCGTGCATTAGGTTTTAAGGAGGATTGAGTATAAGAATTCAATGCTACCTGCCTCTTCTCTTGCAATGAACCTGCTTTCTGGAGTGAAAGCCAACATGAAATTATTCAGCAACGAGTAAATTCAGAGCACGATTCCTATTATTAACTCTCTATCCTCTGCACATAAATAAGGATTTGGTATGTCCAACAACAAACTAATTAATATTGCGTTGCCACTACATAAAAAATTTATGAACTAGCTTTTATTCATTAGAAGGGAACGTCAAGCAAGCATATGCATTAATTAGCATGGTGATAAAGCCCAATCTTATAAATTTGATTGAACTGTGTGTACGCCTTTTTCCCCGCAAAAACATTGGTTTCCAAATGAATGGGATTAAAAGTTGCAAACGAATGCAACTATTTACTTTTTAAAACCACAATCTTTTATTAACAGTTTCTGATAATTATTTTTGCGTAGCTTGAGGTTTAGCCGAAAATCGGGGAATAGAATAAATTTTTCTTCCTTCAAAAATGGCATTTGGCATTTAGAATCCCCATGTGTCTAGTGGTCCGACTTAACCCCATAACTCCGACTGATGGGTTGATAAGATTTTGCAACCAATAAATGGTGGCATTTAACATTTTAAGTAACATTTCGCTTTAAATTCCAAATCTGCGCAAAATAATTTTTTACCCAAATATACAGAGAGAGGGAGAGGGGGGGGCTTTGTAAATCGAGTTGGGCTAACTCTCCCAAAATCTGCCAAATAAGCGAGAGACTCTGGTCATCCTCACCTTATTGCTGAACTTCCTTACAATGTCAAGCGATTCTTTCTCATTATAGTCTCATTAATAAGCAAAAAAATAAAATTATCCGTATGGCCTAAGTAAGATGACGCTCAGGTTTTCCAAAATGTTTTAAACGGAAAAAGTAAAAACTATTAGTGGTTATTAGCTGTCAAAATCATGCGGAAAAAAAACAAAATAAATTCAATTGGCAAATAATGCCTTTCTAAATAATCTATGAAAAAGTGTGCCTATTTATGATTTTATCACTAAATTAATACTTTATGTGGTACAGATTTTTGAAGTAACTTAGGATAATTTAAATCTGAGCCTTGTAAAAAATACTTAGCGAAGGAAGTTCAAAATGATAAAGATATTTCCCTAAACTTAGTATAAAATTGCAGATGGAGTATTAATGTAGGTTTAAATCTATTATATTCGGATATTAAGTGAAAAAATTCTAAACCTTCATAATTCAATACGTAAATATGAAAATCTTCATTCCTTCGAAAATCTATTTTAAGTTATTTTAAAGTTATTGCTAATTACACGAGTCTGGTCCTTGATGTAAATTATTACCAAATTGAGGCGGCATGGGGTACCGCGGAAATAAATCAGTTGTTAATCAAACCTTAAGTATCCTGGATAAAATCCTATCCACGAATCTGGACTTTAATTAAAGGAGTGTGAGCAGCAGGGCATTAATGGTAAATAAGATTATTGTTTGAAGGATACTCTCAAAGAAAATTTCCAAAAGAGCAGTACCTCTGAACCGAAGGGTTTGAATAAGTAAGGATAATTGATCATTAAACGCTAGTCAAGTTATTTTTTAATGACATCCATTTAAACGAGGAATAGAATCCCTAACCAACGCCAGTATCGATATAATTGATTGTTTAATACAAAATAACTGCAACAAATTTTTTTGGCACAATGTGCTCATGTTTTCTTTCCTTTCTAGCTTCACTGTTCACAAATATATCTCGATTCTAGGTAAAGTTAGAATAGTTACTTTGTATAGTACAGGGGAACGTAGCTTATTTATGAATAGGTGGAAATAATGACGACTTACTCATCTTGAAAGAATGTATTCCTTGAATGATTAGGCTCCAAGTAGAAGAGAGGGTGTAAGGTATCACCATGTTGATGCCCTGATGAATTATGGCATTCAGGTGATCGATGATGGACGTCTATTCCAGATTCTGTCTCTTCTGGTGTGCTTGTGGGACTCAGACTCAGACTGCCTTCACTGTGTTTCTTGGGTAATAACGGTGCCGAGGGTACCTCAAGAGTATTTGTCCGCGTAAAGAAAACGTCTGATTTCTCCACAAGAATACTCATAATTTCGTTAATAACATTCTGGCTTGAAAGACTCTAGGAATAGCATAAAATCGTAGGTTACCTAAGTTTGAATCAAAATTGTGAACTTTTAAAAATGGCCTGAGACGGTATCTCACAGTCTTCTGATATAATTATTCATACTTTACAACAGACTTTCTCACCGATTTCAAGCAAAAAATCCTTTCTTCTATTTCAAGGAGTGCGCCTACTGATAAACGCCTACATATTTTTATAATATTTTAAATCGAAACAAAATAAACCTATAATTAAACTTTTATTTGTTATAAATAGAAGGCTTTTGCGAAGAAGCTGATTTACAATTACAGATAAGTGCTAAAATGATGGAATATGCGACTTTTAGAGTTTGTAATAAAAAGAAAACCGGTATCAGCTGCACGTAGTGAAAAGGTGTGAAATTCTAATAAAGATGGAATCGTTTCTACTTTTGGTAAATGTGTAACGCAGCAATAAAAAAAGTTATTCGAAAGCATAACACTAGGTGTAAGCTGATCAAATTTGAGCCAAAAGTTATAAATTGAAATATGCTGCTTCTGTTTTCCGTCAAGAGTAAATGAAACATTGAAGTCGAAATTTAATATCTATTTTCATTAAGCTACGTTCCCCAACTGCAGGTACTTGGAGCAATGAAAATGGCAGAGGAGCCAATGATCGACTTTATGAACTGGAGCTAAGTCGAAAATTCGTTTCTTTCTCATTCAAATGAACTAGAAGTAGTTTTCAAGCAACCCAGCAAAAGAAAACACAAAATAAAATGCAAATTACCAACTATGAAGTCTCAATTGCCTTCAAATTTTGGCTGGGATAGACATAAGCACTCCCATATAAGTTAAGCCAAGAAGTTGAAAAAGGTAAAGAGCGAAAAAGCGATCACCATTTTCATGGCCAAATCCATACATCTCAATTTAATCTTTACGAAATTTTACAATATTATAAGCAATATATCTGCTTGAAAATTTAATTACTTCTCTTTTCTTTGGTTTAACGAAATAAAAGGGAAGCAACGCACAGAAAAATAAAAAAACTAGCTTACAAAATTATTAGTTTAAGAACAAGAGATGATCAAATAATTTAGAATTATGCCAACTATAAAGAATATCATTAAAATCATTTTGAAAACAAGAGCATCTGTATTCTAAAATCCTACAGCTTGTCATAAATTTAGATGAGTATGATGAGAATTTTGATATTTGCATCGGCTTATCTAAAAGAAAGCCCACTACTTTCATTTAAATAAAACTCAGACAAAATTTTTATCCTATAGGAAAGTGAAATACCTCCGTCTCCCGGGGACATCGAAAGACGTTGGGACCAAATACGATTCCAATCGATTTACTGTCCATTTGATTATGGCTGTGATACTGAGTCACCTGTCGTAGAAAGCAGCAGAGATATTCCAAAAGCCGATAGTTCGGTGGTGGAAGCGATCGGACAACACGATCAATTGTGGCCAAAGAGTTGTCAGTATTGGGATTGTAATTCTTTTATTGAAAATTGAAAAAAACCAACAAACAGAAAATTATTGACAATTCATAAAATAGGTAAATAAAAAACTTGACTGCGGTAATTTACACAGTTCTTAGATATCAAACACAAAAAAGACAAACGTCATTAGATGAAAAGATGGTTCCGATAACTATTTTAAAGAAGTAGCTTACCTCAAGAAGATCTTTGGTATGTGCAGGTGGAACTAGTCCAAAGGGCAGTTCTCGAAGAAAGAGCTTGATGAGACTGGCAACAGAATGAATATTTCCGTATCTTTCCAGGTGCGAAAGAAAAGAATCACCATCTTCATTTGAGGTGGATAAGTCTGCCGCCTTTCGAAGACTTTCGATAACCCTTGAGTTGCCATTTACACGGAATACTCCTTTGGTATGAAGACCACAGACAGCTCGAAGAAAGGCACACATTTGTATCATGACAAGAGGCACATTTGTATTATCGCGGGCACATAGTTCATCTAGACGAACTCCAAAACATCCGGTGGGAGAGTTGGACAAACCATTTGTTATCCGTTTGGTTAAAGATGGACCATCGGATGAGCTGTTATTGAAGTGACGAATGAGTTTTTCCATTGCTACATGCCTGAATTGTTTACAATCGTAACAATAAACATTAAAAGTTGTCAAATACATTAAGAGTCGATTTCAAATGAATAAACTGCATTAGACTTGAGTAAATAAAATAAAGCGCATACAGGAATTAAACTAATTTGTTTTGGCTTCATTATTTGGAAAATTTGAGCATTATTCTATAAAAATAAACATATTAAAGGCTTTTAAATGCTATTTTTATTGAAAGCAAATATAAAAGGCACGTAATGCCTGAAGATAACTTTAAGACAACACGAACGTACACCTAACCATAATTATCTTCATACCCAGCGGGGTGTATTCAAGGATATAGTTGATAGATGTTCAACAAATTTGATTGAACAAAAATGGCATTAATTTGTTTGACATGAATATTGATAAACCAGCTTGTTTATCTTTAAATATTTGAAAATATAGGCATTTGCTTATATGTACTTTATTAAATGTGAATATATTAATTAACGATCCTTCATTATAACTAAAGCAATTTAACTGCCCAAGTCATCATGGCCAAAGACAGATTTTTTCATTATAACCTTTGTTACTTTGTTTGATTGAATCCTAGTTATACAATTAAAAATTAGGATATCTAACCTAAATTCGTATCTCTAGTCATTAATGACAAACTTTATTAATAAAGACAAAAGTGGGCAATCAGGTTATAAATTACACAGGGGGCAAATGTAGGAAATTCGAAGTATATTTCAAAACGCAATTGGTTGATATATTTGGTTTTTTATAGCTATTGGGACTTGAAAAGTGGTCTCGGCTTTCAATATAAAAGTTTAAGGATTTTCAGTGGACAACATTTTGTTTTGACGTAATCAGACTATATTGTGATCAAAACGCGCGTTTCAAAATTTGACTAAAAGTAACTCTGTCAAGGAACGAAGCAAATGTGTTTTGTATGTTGTAAAAGTAAAACTTTGCTATGCTTACAAGACAGATAGATAGTGGATTTCAACGGGTATGTCGACAGAGGTAAAATCACGTAAAGAATAAAATAATAGTTTGAAGATGGTTTACTTTGGTGTTCTCGAAATCAAGTGTTCATTAGAAAAAGATATTAAAAATACATTCTAAAATTGATTTTTAACGAAAGATATTTGTTGAAGTTTGCCTCTTTAAAGTTACGGAAATATTTATTAAAGTCCAGGAGAAAATCCTCTTCGTCTTCGGACCAATTTATATTAGTTATTTTAAACAGGTCTCCTGTGGACTCTTGTTTCAATGACTTATTTATTGCAATTTGAAAAAAAAGAATTTTAAATTTTTTCTGATTGTTTGAGCTAATCTTGGACAATTTGTGAAAATACTTTCCTCTCAATTTTATACTGCGACACGGATGTTTAATCCTGATTTTAATTGAATCGTTTCAATTTGCGTTCTTCCTTTTTAAAATCTACTTGTCGTATTTTTTGGTTAAAATTGATTTCGTTTGTAAATAGTTGATTCACAAAGTATGCCTATCTTACTCATCAATTTATAAAAGTGCTCCATTAAAAGTTACTAAGTCAACATTTTCTAACCAATTCATTACCATGCTTTGAATAATTTTAAAAGTACCTAATTAATTTATGAATTTAATTAAGACAATTGACTGATAAACTAGTCATATGAAAATATGCATTCTGCCACGAAAACGTGGAGATAATTGGATTGTTCAATTGACTTAAATTGGGGTAATTTAGAGAAACCTGAGAGAAATACTTAATAAAAAGAGTTTTGAAAATATTCAGAAATTTTATTTTACTTTCTGGATAACAGCACTCAGATAAACATTACAAATGTTACTTCATCAAAAAAGCACGCTATGCATGTATAAGAAATTGAAAGATAGCTATTGGTAATTATAACAGATTTAACCTAACTGCAGCCGTCTCTATTTAATTTCATCATGTATTTTCAGATCATGCGTCTTCATTTGAATTACCTATAAAAAATAAAATATATTTTCTGTCATTGAATGCAGCCTTTAAATTAAGCCTAAAAGTAAAGACCTTGTCAAATGTGCCCTTCTTGTTTTAATTGTTTAGTGCGATATTGCCTTGTGTTACATTCATATGATTTTGTATTCTTATTTTACCCTAAAAATGTACGTAGTTTGAATTAGTTAAGTGGATTTTCAGTTTTTTACGTATATTTATCGATTTTCTATTCATTTTCATCATTTTTTAAATAAATTTTAAAACAGTGTATGATGCTTTTCAAACGGAATGTGCGTTATACAGGCCGCTCCAAGCTAATGAAGATATCTTCAGCTTCCGATTTGAGCACAGAGGTTGTCGATGATTCTTGGGATATTTTCAAGGAAAATTTGGACAATTACTTCACCAGACAGTGTTTCACTTCTTATTTAATGGAAAACATAAGTGGAATACGCGAAGAAATATCCCCTTCCCCACATCTTCGTCGCATCTGCCCACTAACCATCGAAGACTACGAAGAATAAAACGTTTGCCATGTTAGTTTTTTACTGGTTGTTGACTGATATGCCATAACGACGAATTTTGACTACCATATGTACCTAATAAAAAGCACATATGGCTCTTAATGGCATTGTTCTCCTCATACTCAGTAAAAATTACTACTTCGAAGAAACTAAACAGAGATAATGGAGTAGCTTTTATTTTGGATGATGATTTCTTCATCATGTCGAATAAATGGCTATTTATTGCATAACATTGTTATCTCCAGTTCCGCCTTGGGTCAGGCTATCCGTCAATATAATTACATTACTATGATAAAAAACGAGTCTATTTAGTATAAACTAAATTTACCGTGAGCCGTGAGCAACATATTAAATGAAAATCAAATTTGCCTTCAATCTAACTTAAGAAAGCGGGTGGTCCTTTTTATATTCAATATTTGTGCTTGGAGTGCCTTCAAAACTGACGAGTAGAGAATATTTATGATTCCAAAGCTTGAAATTTTGCATGCCACTGGTTAGTTGAATGAGAAAAAATGTTGAATATGGTTATTGAATATTTTAGCGCTATATTTGCACTTTATTTTGTAACGTGCACCTATTGCTCGTCAACATTTTCTTGTTAAATTAGAATTTAACACACTCGCTTTAAATCTGCTGTTGACGTTATGATGTGTTGCAGAAGGAAAGAAGGGTCAAAATTGAGGAAATTTAATATATCATGAATTAGCATTATATTTGGTCAACTTTATCCAATTGGTCTAAAATAACAGATTGTGCAGCAACCTAAATTATCACACTTTGAAAGGGGTCGTCTTACCAGAAACTACTTAAAAATTAATATAATTCGTTTCTAATTAGATCTCTTCATAATAACCATATTGTTATATTTCTTTGAAGCTGAACTTAAATCAGCGTAGCATTAAGGCTTTAGCGCATCTTCAGGCTACCAATGAGTAAGATTGTAATAGTATAATCATAATTACTAATTTATTTTTTACAGAGCTCATTAATTAAAAAAGCTATAGTTAAATTATTTTGATCATTATATTGAGCAATAATTGTCCTATTTTAGCCTCAGTATTCAAATACTACATTTACTTACAATTAAAGCGTACTATTGCTGTTTATAAAGTTGGAAGCGATCTAAGAAAGTAACCCTTAATATCCTGCACAACAAATATTATTAAAGTATTTTATCGAATTTTATTTTATCAATAATTTACAAATAAATCATAAAAGCAAGCGGCAAATTACGCCATTTTAACCAGCGTACTATGGCAGTAAAATGTAATTAAGTGTCACGCGAAGAGATTCTAATAATTATTTAACTAATTAATGCTAACGGTTAAAAACAGACTATATAGTAAATTAAATTGGGAGAGTGTTTCTTGCAGGATTACTGGTTCTTAGCCTAGTTGAAATGAAATAAATCGGATAACTCCGGATACAAATATATTTAAATAATGCTTATGCACAAAACTCTGCACACAGTTGAAAGATGTATTACATAAAATTCGGGAACCCTCATTTAAATCCTTGACAGCATTTCATAGAGACTTAATCTCTAATTAATATCATAGAGTATTTACAAGTGCACGAGGGTGTAAAAAAGTATATACAATAAAGTAATAAGCAATACATATTTGAAATAAAATTTACGCATATGTAAATTACGTAAACCGTAATATTTGTAGATGTTGGGCTGTTTGTAGAAATGTAAATTTGTTAATTTTTATAAAAGATGCATGATTAAAGTGTTGCCTCGTTTCTACAACCTTCGAATCAACCAATAGTTAAATTACCCTGGGATGCTCAATAGTGGTCTTCAATTCGTCAATTTGTAATTTCATAAAATGGATGGGTTAAGTCTCGAGGAGACTTTACCAAGCATAGATCCAAATTTATTTCGCCAGTTCAGAGAAAAGACAGCAGATTTGAAATATGAGAAACTTAAAAGTGATCAATATGTTTCCCGATGGTTGAAAGCGAGAAATTGGGATGTGGACAAAGCGGAAAAAATGTTCAGATCGCATTTACAATGGAGAAGTGAGAATAAGGTACGTGGCTTTTAGTGATGTCGTTTCTTGGCATGATATCCTTGGTAGAATATATCACCCTAGAAAATGCATGAGTTAAGTTAGCAAAATCATGTCCAACTATGTTTTTATTTATTTCCACTTTTAGTTATCTTGATATTTATTCTCTCACACATTTCTGGCATTCTTTCTTGTGAATCCATGTACTCCTACTTATGTGCGAACTCTGTTTTCAGAGATGATCCTTTTTGATGCCTTCTCAGTTTCTTTCACTTGATTCATTTCCTAATGCCACGTTCTCGTCACCTTTTAGCATATTTCAGCGGTTCTGGAATTGTGGCTTTACTGTGGGCTAATGAAATTTAATGCGATTTACTGTTCCATTAACGGTTCTTCTAAATTACTTTCAAACATTTTTGAACTATTTCTTTTTTAAGTTCTTTCCTTTGTGGTGGAATATAGGCAATCTTCTACTGAGTTTCTTTTTAACCTAATTATGCGTGTATCGTCCTCTATTTTGTGGTTCTTTGTCATTAGAATTAAACTAAACTCCATTTATTAAATATTTGTCACAAATGTGTTGTATCAGATTGTAAATTCCTTCAATTTTTTTGGCTATCAACATATCATTTTTTCCTTTCAGATGGATGAACTGCTTACAAACTTCACTATGCCAGAGGTGATTGAAAAGTATTTTCCTGGTGGTATTTGTGGTCAAGACAAATTCGGCCGTCCAGCTTTTATCTGCCCGGCAGGTTCTACCGATGTGTTCGGATTGATGCGGTCAGCTTCTCGATCACAGTTGGCTTTTTCCCGCTACTATGTAATGGAGAAGATAATCGAAGAGGTTTTACCCGCTCAATCTCGTAAGATGAACAAACCGATTGATCAACTGGTTGTCATCTTTGATCTTCAGCACATGAATCGTCGCCAGCTCTGGCGACCTTGGGTCAACATTGTTCTTGAAATGACCTCCGTCTTTGAAATAAACTTTCCTGAGTTCATGGCTGTCTGTTTTGTACTCAATGCTCCTTCTTTCTTCTCCATGGTATTTTCACTTCTTAAACCTCTCCTCAGTAAAGAAACTCAGGACAAAATACACGTAAGTAAAGCCCATTTTGATGATAGTGTGACGCGAATTGCATTGTTTATACTTGATATGGGTTAATTTTTTGGCTTGTTTATGTCAGTTTTACCGTGATTGATTTGAAAAAAAGTAAGTTTTTGTTTCTTTTTCATCAGTCGAATATATCATTTGGTACAAAAATGTGAACAATCTTAATTGACTTCAGATTTTTCTTGCGGCATCAGTTAGAATACTTTTTATGAAGTTCTAATAAAAGGGCATTTTGATAGTAACTTTCCTGAATGTTTGCCACTTTGGAGTGTTAGCTAGTAATTATGTTCACGATCATATTGGCAGTTTCCAATAGACCAGTCTGATAAATGATAGGTTTGTGCGGTCAGGGATCGTTCGTTTTTGGTATGATGTACTGAAAATTAGGTTTGTTATCGGATAGATTTAAAAAAGTCTCTTAGGTAGTTTGGTACATCTTTCATCAGCTTAAGGTTCTTTTTTATCGTCTTGGACCCGTTTTTCTTCTTGCAATCCGACAGAACTCGATCAATCATTTAGGCCACTTTTCTTAGTAAAGTAATTTCCCTATTTGCTAATCTTTATTTTGTCAAATATTTCACTCTAATGTAACTATCTGACGCTTTTCATTTCACCACTGAATACGTATCGGATCTACACTTTTCCATCTATCTGCTTAACGTGCTTTCCAACTACAACGCGAACATCTGACATAAGTAATCAACTGCATTCTCTCTTTCCTGACTTGTGGTGGTGACTTTTACTTAATCCTGGAGGATAACGGCTGAGCAGAATTTCTTAATCTAATGGGAAATACATCTTCCATTTAGAAATTTTTCATTGTTTCCGTATAACATATGCTCTGTCGTTATTATTTTCATATTAAGAAATCGGTTAATCAATTTACTGTCTTCATGCTATCGAAATAGTCAATTATTCGTTAAATTTCTAAAGCCTTGGATTCATTTTGCTAAAGATTTTGGACTCTTAGAGCCATGGCGTCATCCTCTGCACTTTGGCCCCACCTATTTACTAGTTTCCAGGTGCGCTTGAGCTTACCATTGTTGAAACTGTACTGGTCGTATTACCTTCCTTAAAGTGCACAATGACCTATGAAAAATTGGCTCATTATGTGGTTCTAAAAAAACCGAAATGGATGTTTTCTAACCAGTACTAAGATTCCGTTCCTGTTTATCTTCAAATGCTATTATTTCGCATAACGTACTCAAATTTCCTAACACAAAGTCAGCTTAATAGTCCAAGTAATGAAGCCATCTGATTTTGTACTTTATGGGGGAATATCTCGTTTCACTTTGCGCGAATTTAAAGTTATAATCATGAAATATAAAACTGATTCCTTGGTAATGGTAAAAATTGATCAGTAATTTATTTTGAGTAGTTGGTCATACAATTTCCGATTGCCTGTATCATATAAGCCAGATTGGAGCTTTAATTTTGCGGAACTCAATAAGTAGAATTCACAGTGCAATAGCTTGCAATATCGTTCAATAATACAGTATAGCAACCTATACGCCCGGGAAGCTTCATGATCGATAGGGAAAATACTTGAACCCAACTTTTTTTCTACCTGGCCGGATATTTAAAAAACGCCAATAACCTTGATCCCTATGCCTTCTCTACTAGTTTTCAGGGTCTTAAACTTGTTCTTTTAAAATTCCTACAGCTGCTGTAGACTAATTTCTATGTAGCATAGTTCACTTATGTACCTTATGTTTCCTAAATTGAGGTAGAATAGGCAGAATTGAACTATTCTTTGTGAGACAATTTGAAAGGTTATATTTCTTTTGCGAAAGTGGAAATGTGACGGATAATTTTTTGGTAAATGGTTATCTATTAAGCAGGAGAATTTTAATGTACCGTAGATGGATAATTGAGAAAAATCAATTAATTATCTAAGAGAATGGGTAATACTAGGCCTGCACCACACCCCTTTTATTTCTAGTATTGCTATTGATTTCTTTTAAATCTAGTTAATGGGCAGGATGAATTGGTTATCTCCAACTGACAAGCAAAAGTCAAACTTTTCCACTTAACTTTCACCTGACTGAGCACTTTAAAGTAGCCAAAAAGTTGCCACTTGTTTAGTTTATGCTGCTTAAGGTTATTAATAAGGTATTAATATTAATTCATGTTCATCTGAAGAATTTTCTACTTTGATTGATAGGCTGCTAAGCTTGAATTAAACATGTCTAGACATTCTGCACTATCATTTTATTTGTTAACCAACTATTTAAGCTAACTACCTTTGTTTACACCATACTATTTTGAGGCTAATTTTCTTCAGAGTACTGTTCCACAATGGCACTTTTTATTAAATTGAAATCTAGATTAAGAATACTTTTCATCTGCAGGTATCATATTATACCTGCTATACTGATTTTTGCATTATAAGAGCACAACGGAAGCACTTGTTAGTAAACCGAGCAGATACCATAGATAACAAGATAATATGGTGTGAGATAGATATCTCAAATTGATATTGGATCCAAGGTTCAAAAGAATGAATTTCTTTTTGTGGCAACTAGAAAATATATAAATTGATAATATTGGCTTAAAGGAAGTAGGTTGGAACCTAAATTGAATAGACAGGGTCTTAATTTGCAGTAGGCATGAAGCCGATATAAACGAATAGGAAAAATAGTACACATTTTGGACATTTTATTCTAATAAGAAATAAATATATCAGCACTTGAAATGATATTTTCGTGGTGATGACCTCATCAACTGGGATTGGTCTATCTGGTGATTAGTGCTTATGCAAATTAGTGACCCCGACCTCGCTAGGGCCATCGTCATGCTGTCAGCGTATATGTCATGTTACCCTTCATATCTCCCTAAAATTTCCACTTGCTACTTTTTCACAACTTGTTGACAGCTCGAGTTCTCTGGGACATTTTCTTTCAAGTTCTGAATTTCTTTCCGTTATTATAGGAACGATATCTGAATACTACCCAACTGAGAATTGCAGTAATTCTATCATTTCCATTTCTGGCACTTCCTTGCTTGTCTGTTTTATAATCACAGGCAAACCTGGTTACATCCTTTTTCACGTGGCGTATTAGTAAATATTTATGCATTAAATTAGTTTGTTTTTGAATTTCCCCAATTCCTCTACATAGCCTACAGTTAATCAGCGAATGATTGCCTTTACATTTGTTTTAATAAAGTGTTGCAATTTTTTCCCTATTGCGGCTCTAGTAGTTGACTTTTTTTGTAAAATCGCAAATATTTTTAAAAATCTAAGCTTTGCAAAATGTTTCCTTAACTTTATAAATTATGTCGGCAATTATGTCGACACCAAGGCTGTTAACATTCAATTGTATCCTTGATCAATGCACCTTCGTTCATTAAGTGAGTAGACTATCTCCACTGGTCGTAATGGATCATTCCCCTCAAATTTTCTACCCTTCTTAAATATTAACCCATCTCGATGTAGGTATTGTTGAGTAAAGGGGGGCTTTTTCTTCTCTTGGCTTACTCTCTTCCCAAGCCGCTTTTAATATTTAATTCCGGGTTAGCTATCACTTTGCTGCTGCTGTTTCTTTTGGACTTTTTTTCTCTGTTCCAGCTTGTCAAATTCCGCAGATTGGCTCTCATGATGTGTTTTGCCCGTTAGGGTGAGGTATAATTGCGAATAAAAAGCGTCTGTGTCGTAAGCGTAATGGTGAAAAGTGTGCACACAGTGCACCGGAAATTTGTGCGCTTTCCCGCACCACCTGAAAGGAGTGAATTACCTCCATGTCCATGGGAAAGTGCAGTACTATTTTGTGTGCATTCTTCCACCCTGTCCTGGGAGGCATCGCTGACAATTTTCCCTAACCGGTTCCTTATCACCGATTTTCTTCTTTGCACACTTAATGAAAAAAGTGCAAATATCTATTTTCTTTCTCTTTAGTACTTTTATGAATCGAACTATCTTCTGTCTTGTGTTCCTTCAATTTAAAAGGTCTTAGTGTTTCTTTTGTTAGTAATGGGCTAAATGCTAAATTCTCTCTCAATAGATCACCTGAGGCTAATAAATTAATTTATGAGTCTCGAATTTACTCTTTCTTTAATCATGACTCTAAGTATTTACTAATGGGCATTTGGAAACGTCAAAAATTATTACGATACTGTGTATTTTTTGCACGTATTAGATGATTGAAGAGGGTCTTTCTCTAGAGATCTTCAGACGTTTGAGTGTTCAGGAATGTGCCAAGTTAAAGAAGCACTATAAATTCGGAAATGTTGTTATTTGTAAGTACAGTGAGATAACTACAATGGCACATAGTCGAAGCGAGGCAGACTGGAAGAACTTTTGTGCGCAAGTCAGTGGGTGACTTCAGAAGCAGCAGACACATTACAATTACACGTAATTAGACCTTTGAATCCCACTCTACACGCTCTTCTCTCCGCTTTTATAAACAGAGACGCTATTTAATAGTCTAAGTTGAGGATTGTTTATCTTCTAATTGCCTATAAACCCTTTTTCATTGCTAGGCAACAGATTCAAATATTCTTGATGCTTCTAGTTGGCATTCAGAGTCTTTGCAATTTTGTGCATTTGTTTACCAATTATTGGATTGGAACCTGCCCTCTATTTTTTAATCGTTTACCACCTATCCTAATCTTTAAAGCCAATTGACACTTTCACGACTATTTCTGCTTCCTGCTTATTCGCCTAGGTCTGAGTCAACTCTTCTTATTATTGCGCTTGGTGAGCACCTAAGAATATTGCAATGATAACGTTATTATGGTTATTAGCCCTAAACTATCCATGTGGTCTCTGCAGAATTAAGGCAATTTTGTCACCACCCAAGAAGAAGCCGACTTCTTTTGCTACTTTGAAGAAATATATATGCACATTAAATCTGCCTTCTTCTCACTCACATATTAAAATATTATCTCTGGCTTTTTTTAAGTCCACTTCCGCTGTTTCCATTTGACATTTCCTGTTTGGCTTTTGCAAGCAGCATAAGGAGTGAATCATCACTGCTTTCCCCAGAAAGGTTAAAACTCCTGTATGGCCGTCTGGTGATATTCACTTTCTTTTTGAACGAAATGAGTGAATTCTTCGCTGAGCACATTTTATAGCTTATCTACATGTGTCCTCATGCTTGATCGGTAAGATGGCTGAAAACATAAGGGCAGCAAGGGAGGACGTCTATTTCTCTCCTACTTTAATAATAATTTTTTTCTGGCTTAAAAATGAGCATAGGGGGCGCAAATGAAGGCACGTAAAGACGCGATTAACGTTCATGCCTATGATATCTAACGATCTTCCTCGGTAACCACTCACTTAATTGCCAAAAAATATTTGGCGGTATAAGACTTCAGACTACCTTTCCTCTTCCCAAGGCCAGAGTTACCCTAATGGGTATGGAATGCTTTATTATGTTTTTCAGCTGGGTGATTGACACTTAGGAAGTTGATCGCGTTTCTTCAATATTACTTTAGTAATCGCGGGGTGTGCGAGAGACTTACCTCCACGTGGTGCACCCTGGGCAACGTATATTCATACGCCAAAAAAGTCTATTAACCGGCTGTTGACTTCTCACTTCAAACTACCCCCACTGTATGCCATATTCAACCCATTTCACAGTACTCACCTTACCTTATCTCTGCTCTTTTGTCTGTCTCTGTCACATCTGTGAATCATTATTCTGTCCCCCCTCTTGACTTACTGTCACTTTGATGTTCCTCCTCCTCTCTGTGAAGCCTGAAGTCAGCTAAATGGCTAATGATGCCTATCAAAACGCCTGCCATTGAAATAAATACTTTAGTAATCGCATTCATTTCATGCATAAGAAAGGACCTGATTGCAGAATGGTTATTGATTCTTCCGTGGAGGTGAAGTGTTTGCCCTCTGACACTATCTTAATGTATGTAGGAAAACCTTTTATGTTGGGTTGGCAACTAAGTCATTGCCGTTTTTGTTGACGGATTCACTTTATACTTTCTTTTGTTTTGTTAACGTGGCCAGAGCATCTAACCTATATTTCTTTCTTACTGTATGGGCTTCTAGGTTAATTAGTAAAAATTTTTTTTGTTTAGTTCTTTAGTTTTGTTTTTATCCCAATTTAAAAATGAAAGAACAGGACGTGTACTTCCGACACATTTTATTGTATTACTTCCGAAAAGGCAAGAACGCATCGCAAGCACAAAAGAAGTTATGTGCCGTATATGGAGATGAAGCCTTAAAAGAAAGTCAGTGTCGAAATTGGTTTGAAATATTTCGTTCCGGTGATTTTTCACCGAAAAATTCACAACGATCTGGCCGCCCAGTCGAAGTGGATGAAACCCATATTAAGGCCATTATCGATTCAAATCGTCACAGCACAGCACGAGATATTGCAGAGAAGCTCAATGTGTCACATACATACATTGAAAAAAATTAAAAACCCTTGGTTATGTCAAGAAACTTGATTTATGGATCCCTCACCAGTTAAAGGAAATTCATTTGACGCAACAAATTAGCATCTGTGATTCGCTACTGAAACGCAATGAGAATGATCCATTTCTGAAGAACCTAGTTACTGGCGACGAAAAGTGGATAGTTTATAACAATGTTACTCGCAAGAGATCATGGGTGAAGTAGCAAGATCAATCAGCCCAAACAGTGTCAAAAGCAGAGATTCAGCAAAAAAAGATTATGCTGTCAGTCTGGTGGGGGGATCACAAAGGAATTGTGTATTTTGAACTCATGCCGCAGAACCAAACGATAAATTCAAATGTGTATGTTGAAGAACTCGAAAAACTGAAGGATGCAATTGAAGATAAGCGGTCGGCATTATCAAATCGGAAGGGTGTTGTTTTCCATCATGATAACGCAAGGCCCCCCACACATCTTTGGTTACTCGGCAAAAATTATTGGAACTGGGTTGGGATGTTTTGTCACACCCACCATATAGCCCTGACCTTGCGCCTTCGAATTACCATTTGTTTCGTTCCATGCAAAACTCTTTAAATGGTAAAATTTGTAACAACGCGGATGATGTCGGATCACACCTAATTCAGTTTTTTAATAGCAAAGACCAGACATTTTACGAACGAGGAATTTTTACTCTGCCAGATCGATGGAAAAAGGTCATCGACAAGAACAGCCAATATCTAATTGAATGAAGTTATATTTTTAAACAAAAATTCCGAATTTGCCTTCTTATTTGAAATCGGCAATGACTTAGTTGCCAACCTAATATTTCTGCCAATTTGGCTCTAGCTATCGTATATCTCTCAAAGTATTCTACAAGCAATCAGTTCCTGAACTTCATTATAGTTTTTAGTTAACTTCTTGAAATATGACATGGAATGGCGTCTTTTTGTTTTAATCACTCAAATAACTAACCGCAACATTTAGTCTGATCGGAAATTTTGTTATCTTCCTAATTGTTTCGTCGCCTCATAATACTTAAGTATGCTGAGCAGTGCATCCTAGGGGTGAATGAAATATAAACCACCTAGTTGGAGGTCTTATGGCTTACTTCCTTTGATCTAAATCCCCATCTTAAAGTACGCAGTGCTTAAATATCTTAGTGGTTTGAATGTGCTACTATTGGCACTATCTCGAGAATCTGCAATTTGCTCATGATATCACCTTATCGCAAACCGGTAGGTATCCATTTCCTGATCTCTGATTTGATAGAACGTTCCATTTTAATAGCGATTATCGTTTTTATGCCTTTTCTACCTTCCATATTGTTTTATGATTGGTGGACAAAGAAAGGGGAGGATATGAGATGTGGAATACAATGCGGATAATACTTTTCTTGCCTAACTCGTTTTTTTATTTCGATACTTGTTCCATAAAGACTGACATATGCACGATTTTCAAGGTTGTAACAGTATTGGTGATTCAAAGGAGGGTTTAATCTTTTGGTTATCTATCGCCCCTTTTTGAATTTAAGATATTTACCTACTGAGTACTTTCCTCGTAGTTGAAGAAAGTGATATCTTTTTAATAGGTAGTTGATTACTCTTAGCTATAACAATGTTAATTCATCTACTTTTGTCTTAGTAAATGCCCCATATTTCTCTTGGTAGGTGGTAAATTTAGTTTCTCAAATTCTATCTGCCATGTTTTCCTTCTATGTTGTTAAATTTATAATGGTTACTTCTAATTTCAGTGAGCTACTTTGTTTGTACGTTAAGTGCAAACTTCTTTTCTCAGACCTAGTGCAAAGAGCTGAAAATGAGCACTTATTATTTCAAGTCTTCTTAGTTATAATGTGCTTTTGACGCTCGATTACTTCCTTTTAAAGCCCTTCCTCCCCTTTCCTCCCCCACATTTCCCAAACCACTAGAAAATGAGGGGAGAGGAATTGTGGTTCAGCCAGTGTTGTAAGAAAATTAAGTTTCTTGAATAGAAAGCATGGTAAATGAATGATTTACTAGTTAACCAGTACTTACAAAGGTAGAACTTTCAGTGATATTCTTAGGTATCTGGATGTGATCATAGAAATCCGATAGTCAACAATTCAGTATGTAATGGATGAAGCCTGTGCGTTTTGCTCAAGTGCATTGACCATAGTAAATTCGGCCTCCTACTAATCTCTATCCCTACCACTTCACTTTTTCTTATCTCATTCTTATTACATTGTAGATTCTTGGTTCTAACTACCTCGATGATCTATTGAAGCTCTTTAATCCCGAAGACTTACCTGCTCACTATGGAGGTACAATGTGTGACCCCGATGGTGACCCACGTTGTCCCTTGCGAATTTGTTGGGGTGGAACAGTCCCCGAGTCCTATTACCAAATTCAACAGATTTCCTCTGAAGAGGAGAATGAAAACTATCAAGTTGTGCCTGTGGGTCGTGGTAGTAAGGAGTACTGTTATCTAGGTGAAGCTAAACCTGGTGATACTGTCTCTTGGGAATTCTACTCTGAATCAAACGACATCGCCTTTTCTTTGTGGGTTGAACCGCCGAATGAGTCTTGCTCACAACTTGAGAGTTCAAGGAGAAGATCGACTAGGTCGAGAAATCAAAACGGAGGTAATTGTTCACTGTTTGATTTCTATCTTATCCGGCCACTATTTATCACTTTCCGTTGAAAGTACATGGTCGTTGCGTACCAATGTCTTTAGGACTTTGTAGCCGATAAATCGCTATTCAAAAGTAATAATGATTGTGGAGGAAAGTAATTTGCTTTCAAAATTCAAGGAAATATTTTTCTTTTGAGTAGGTTAACAAGAGATGATTATCTGTATTAGCTTAATATAAAACCTCTAACATTTGTAGTAAGTATTGGATACTAGCTTTCTCCAGAAAACTCGAGCAATGAAATATATCCCACTGCTAACACAAGAAACTATCGAGTTGATTTAAAATAACGAAACCCGGAAGCGAAGCAGTTGAATGACCATAAAAGACCTTTGGCGTCAGCTTTCTTCCACAGCTTGCACTTCATTTTTTTAAAAATCGAATCCTCCAGAACTACTGACTATTCCAAAATGTAAAGAAATCAGTCCACTTGGGACATTCGAAGCCCCATCGCTGCTAAAGTCATTAATATTCTTATCGAAATTCTATACCGCATCTACCCCTTTAGACATTGGATTTCGGGAGCTTGTTTCATACCTTCGAAACGAACTTTAAGAAATATATTCGTTTCACTTCGAAGCATTGTTTGAATAGGCACTTTAAATATCAGAATGTATTCGATATAACATCTTTCAGGCCATTTTCTGAATTCAATTTTAGCGGTTCCATTTGACAGAAGAGTAACGTTTTAGTTCCATATTGATGCTATATTCGATTTCCGCCAGCATCCTCCTCTTTATTAGCCCCACTAGCCGATGCGATTGATCATCGCATTCAGTACGTGTGCACCAATGGGTCTCAAGCCCAAGTCATCTGGCTTTGTAGGCGGCCACGTTGACCACTGTGTCGCTGATGCATTAGTAGAATGTACATCTTAAACAACAATAATTGTGCCCATTTCTATTGTTTCTTTGTTTTTTCCCATCATTGAAGGAGGAAAGAGCGAAAAGAGTGGAATGACCACCTCCTTTTCCTTCAATAATCTTATCAACGGAGCCAGTTCAAATGGTAGTGGAAAAGTTGAACTGAAACAGATCACTCAACCTGTGCGTGTAGACTGCGATCTAGTGCCCGAACTCGGTGAATGCAAAGTTGAAGTTGAAGGCAATTACTTCCTACTCTTTGACAATTCCTACTCGTGGACTCGTGCCAAGCGTATATTCTGTAAGGGCGATGTGATTCAATCTGCAAACGCAAGCTCTAGACAAACGTCCTCCTCTGTCTCAACTGCTATTATGCCTGCATCTATACCGGTTGTTAATGGAAACTCAAATAATAATCATAGTTTTGATGATATCCATGAGGCAACAGAATGCAGTGTTGTGGAGGAGGTTCAAAATGCGGTGGATATTGAAATAGCTGAAGTGATGAAAACTGTGTGTGATCCAGACTATTCCAGCCTTTCCACCCTCGATGTAGACATTACTGCCTTGGTAATGATACTTCTACGAACAGTCCCTATCATTCGGAGACGATTTCGGACATCTAAACAATCTTCCCCTACCCATTCTTCATCGCCTTCTTTCCTTAGGCTAAAGTTTAAGCGACCACTCAAAACGCCAGTTTAGTAGTAGAGAGATTGACAAAAGATTGACATGCGTGTATTCACACGTATATCTGCGCCTTTCTGTGAGATTTTATTTTTCTACTTGATTTACGTCTCTATCTCTTTGACATTTTGTTAGCTCATTGTGTTGGAGTGCATCTGTAGTCCTGATGTCCTCCCCTTTCAAATCCCAATTTGGCTATTATCCAGTGCTTTGTACAAAGATACTGATATGATTCTGATGCACTTATATTTGATTTGCCTAATACAATTATTCTTTTTGAATGATATCCTTCTGTTATTTTTTTAAAAATAAAGTGCATTTAGGGAAATTGCTTAAAAATGACTTTTATTTCCCTGGGTTGGGCGTGATTAAGTTATGTTTTTTACCTGAATTCAGAATCTATTTCAGTAAAAGAGCCTGTCGAATGAAATAATGTTTGTAGCAGTATGCTGTAGAATATAAAAGTTCGGCAACCAAGTGGTTTGTGAAACTTTTTAAACGGTCTTTTTTATGTATCTAGTCTTTACATTGACTAACATTATTATACTGGTTTTATTTAATGTAAGTGCATCTTGTGGATGTAGAAAAGCAAATTTCGGCACCCAGCATTAGTTCGAGCAGAACGAAAATATCCTCTTTTTTGACTCTCAGTTGTCACATGTAAAAAGCCACAACTGCTCAAATCGCAGGAAAAGGAAATAAAACTATACTTCAAGCATCAATTTTTACTAAGAAACAAGCTTCTTTGCGAAGTCATGGATAGATCGTTTATTTATTTATTTCCAATGGCAGGCGTTTTGATAGGCATCATTAGCCTTTTGCTGACTTCGGGTTTCACAGAGGGGAGGAACATCAAAGTGTGACAAATTCGAGAGGGGGAACAGAAGAGTGTTTCACGGATGTAAAGGAGACGGACAGACAAAAAGGCAGAGAATAGGTTCGATGAGTACTGTGAGAGTGGTGGAATATGACATACTGTGGGGTCATGGTAGTTTAAAGTGAGAAGTCAACTGCCAGTTAAAAGACAGTTTTGCCGTATGAGTAAACGTTGCCCAGGGTGCACCACGTGGAGGTAAGTCTATCGCGCATCCCAGGATAGATCGTAGATGATCGCCTATCTAGCTACCATTCAATTTGTTGAGGTTTACGTATTCATTTGGGGGGTAGAGAAGTTTTATGATCGTCAACGCAGGACAAGTGGTGTGAAGCAAAAGAGTCTCGCTTACATACACGAGGCATATTCGATTAGGCATTGTAGCAGACCTCTAGACCATAAAGCATAGCCATTCAACATGAGATACAGAGAAATAAACTGGGTTTAATTATTTGAATTAATGGGAGATAATTGATTGCCTCGTTATCTCATAATGTACTAGTGACCATATTCTATTACCAAACGGGAGTGTCATGACGCAAAATATGCAAGCATCGTTGTATTTCTGAGTTCGGATTGTTGTGTTGAGAAGTATATGATTTGAAAGAGTGCAAACAGTTTCTAAGACTGGACTTTTTCCAGATTTAATCTATTGATTTGGCGTTATTGCATGTAAATGCACCTTTAGAGGATGTGAAATCAATAAATAAATAGTTCGTGACAGATAAGGTCTGACATTTATCCCATATTAACCGATTATGTTTAACCGTCAAGTTTTCAACGGACTCTAGTTTCCCACTGATTTAAGCAAAACAGTCAGTAAAACATTGACTCATTGAGTGCAGAAAATCAATATATCAAGATACTTATTCTAAGTATGAACCAAAATTTCGTTCTCTTTTTTAGAACATTAAAGAATTTTTAATCGATTTTAAATGCAACATCTCCTCTTCGTTGATCTAAAATATCGACTTCCAATGTGGTATTGCAGTTGACCTCTGTCGAATTACTAAGACAGCATTTCAACAAACCTTGCGAGTGTCGAAAGAAGGCAGTTTTCCTATAGTTCAAAGCTGTTGTAAACGCTATGAAAATACGAACACTCGAGCCGATTGGGAGAGATTAGATAGCTGATAGCCAATACCCCAGTAGTGGGGAAGTTCTTGGCTTAAATGTAAGGTAAAAGTTGTTTTAATTTTGGCAGTCAATTTAGAATTTCGATCATCTAATAGCCCCTTCTCATTGTACCAGTCTACTTGATTACGAAAAGACCTGTGTTGGATTAAAGTACACACAGTCTCTAAAGTACCGAAGCTTTAAAATTAAGATATACTTGAAATGCCTTGCCGGTTAGTTAATAGGTTTCTAAGCACTAGTGTTGAAAGGCCGTGTATGTAAGTACGCATCTTTCTTTCTGTGGGCTTTAATCAAAGTACCAAATAGTCAGAAGCTTATTCATAATTAATTCACAGAAAAAAAATTTACTGAAAAGAAGCATAAATTCCTCTGCAATATGCTATTATTAAGTAGTCCACTTGATTAAATGTTGTTACGATAAAAAGACATATCACATAGAGGTGCTTTCGTTGAACATGAAAGACCCATTAGTTGTTATGTCATCAATAAATGAGATCAAGTGATCGGTCTAACTTTTCAGAGCACGAGTTATTATGAAATGTCATAGTTAATATATGGGTAAGTTGAAAACTCTGTAGACAAGGCAACCATTGTAATATTGCTTCTATCAATGACCTTCTTGTGAGTAGAGTGAAATATAACTAAGTTATTCTCAGGGCGTATATGTAGACCTATTAATTCTTGTCTACCTTATAACGAAATATTCATTTTAGGGAGCGTCGTTTATTGATCTACTTGATTATGTTTGTGGAGCTTATAAGAATTGACAGAAAGGATTGGTGCTGAACAAAAATCTCTTGCATCTACTTTTTGCGAACTTAACTGACAAAAGAGCGGTTTGAGGATGACCACTTGTCAAGATGAGGATCAGGCGATATGGGTTGTTTGAGGAAAGATTTGCTCACCCATGTTGTCGAAAAATACCCATGACCATTTAATTTTGGCAGAGCGACATCATGGAGCCTCCATGGTTAGAGACCCGAAGTCTGCAAGCCTCCTAATAAGCCAGATGAAAAAAAAACAGTGCTGTTGATTGGCCTCCACATCGAATATGCACTGGTCTTGTGATCTCTGAAAGCTGATCGCTTAGCCACCTGTGGTTAGATCTCAATTACTGTTATCTAAGCAAAGTTTACTCTAACCCAGTTATTTCCTTCTTACACCATTGCGAGTATTTCCAACTTCTTGGACCGATTTTTTCCCATCGTCCTGATTATGACGTCATAACTGGTTTTTGCCCTGATAATGCTTTAAAGTGCAAAAGATCTCATTTACATTTATTGAACCTACACTTAGTGCCATTTACAGAAGAAGCCGGCCGTCAAATTATTTAATTAATAAGAATATGCTATGTAGATAGGGGAAAAAACTTGGCATTTCATTTCCCAATTAACCATACGCCTCTGGTGTTGAAATTCGGCATCAAGTCTTATTTTCCACTGAAAACGAAAAATAGGTGTATCTAGTGAGGAGCTGACTCTGGAAGTTGAAAGCAATTAAATTCAAGAATTTCGAGGGCTTAAATTTTTGAAGCGATCTGTTTTTTTAACAAACAGTGACAATTTGTTTCAAGGGGTGAGCGATAATTTTGCATTTCACTAAACGTCAGTTGAAGAATTATCACAGTGGTTTAACGTGATGAGGGGAGAAGCGTTTTTTTCTGGGGGGGGGGGGAGTTCAAAGTACATATAAAACAAGTAAAATATTAACTCTAAAAATTGATAATTTTTACTTGTCCACCCGACTGTTGACTTGTCCGAGGCATGTGAAAAGTAGTCAAAATTGCATCGATTTTTTAAAAAAAATTTATAGAATATTTATTATTTTTTACGAATTAGGTGCATCTCTGCTATTTGTTAAATGAAAACTCAAATTAAAACGTAAAAATCGCACTAGTCATTTGATTGCTTATCAAAGTTGACCGTTATTTTGAATTCTTTATTGATTTTCGCCAGTTCTACATCTGCCATTAAGTTATGAGTATAACCAATTTCCGATCTTTAAGCGAGTTTACTGATTTTCCTCGCTCTCTAACGCTGGCGTTTTGATTACATCTTCCCCAAAAAGTTTTTTTACTTCTTTCTATTCTTTTCTACATAAATATTCCTTCATTAACTCTCTCTCTCATTTTTGCCTTGTGGTGCATGTTTACCATTGGTGTTCGCTGTTCTGCATTAATAAATCAATAAACATAAACTTGACATCCTATTATAAACGTGGTGGTTAATTTTTTTGGAAAAAAAGCTCTTTATTTATTCTGTCAAAATCGGAAATTAGACAGTAATTTTAGGTTCTAATAATTGATTTAGTGGAACAGTTTTTGAGTATGTTACAAGCGATTCATAAGGTTATTTACCTTTTTCACATTAACCAAATTCATTTTCCTGAAGTATGCTTATTTATACTTTAATAGTTGAAAAAGCCCAATTTTGTAGAAAACCTCATGACAAGACTTACTGAAATATTCATTGGTTAGATTAGCTCTACCTGGGAGGCGTTACGTAGACCCTCTCTCTGCTAAAATTAGCAGTAAGTAAACATTTTTTCTTCCAAATCTAAATTAAAATGAATTTTTGCGCGTCTTATATGCTAGATAGAGTGAGTGATTGGTATAGTTTTTCTTGCTATAATTGGAGGGAATAGGTCTGAGATCAATTTTCCCGAAAATATTTCTTAGCAATAATAATACTTGAAGTAACCTTGATATCACTAATGTACCAGTGTCAGCTTCCCACTCAGACCAGACATTTTCCATAGAAAAAAAAACCATTTTCGGTGAACAGCATGGAATATGAGGATAACCGGGAATGAAAAGATCTGTCAAGTCATTTCAGAGATGTCTAAAGTTCACTTGACAACAATGATAAATCTAACTTGTGGTCTTTGTCTACATCTGCCATTAGCTCATCAACTTCGTTTATCATCGTCATTATTATCTAATTCGAACTGGGTTTATGTAAGCCCAAAGCCTGTTAGAAGTGGGATTTCAACCTCTCCGGATCAATTTAGATCGCAGGCCCGTATGCAGATATAGCAATTTGGTAGACGAACTGGGAGCTCAGTGATAAATTCGCTTGGGCATTATCGGTATTGGGGTTAAGATCTGTTGGTTAGCAACAAAATGGTTGTTGCAACTCATCACTTGTAACCTTTGCGAACTTTGGTCGTTATTTTCATTTTTACCCATATGAACTTCACGCGATTTCATACTTTAATCTAAATCTATATGGTTTGCTTTAATATTGCTTTGTGTTTAATAAACTTCCAACACCAACTGCAAACCTACGAATTACATCCAGTCACTTTCAGTAGGATTTTATTTGCGTT